GAAACTCTAACCTCGGAGATGCCCCGCGCGAGAGGTGGTCCGGCCCGTTTCGCATGAGACATCCTCGAAACTCTAACCTCGGAGATGCCGCGCGAGAGGTGGTCCGGCCCGTTTCGCCTGAGACATCCTCGAACTTCTGAGCTCTGAGATGCCTTGCGCGAGGCGAGGTGGTCTGGCCCGTCTCGCCTGAGACATCCTCGCAACTCTGAGCTCTGAGATGCCTGGCGCAAGGTGGTCCGGCCTGTTTCGCACAAGACATTCTCACAACTCTGAGCTCTTAGATGTCGCGCAAGAGGTGGTCCAGCCTGGGGGCCCAGAAGACAACATGTTGCATATCCTCCCTGGGACCCTGGGAGCCCGCCTGAGACATCCTCGCAACTCTGGGCTCCGAGATGCCCTGCGCGAGGTGGTCCGGCCCATCTCGCCTGAGACATCCTCGCAATTCTGAGCTCTGAGATGCCGTGCGCAAGGTGGTCCGGCCCGTTTCGCACAAGACATTCTCGCAACTCTAAGCTCTCAGATGCTGCGCAAGAGGTAATCCAGCCTGGGGGCCCAGAAGACCACATGTTACATATCCCCCCTGGACCCTGGGAGCCCCAGGTGGCCCCAGAGAGCTTCAGGAGGCCGCAGGACGCCCAGGACAGGCCCCAGGGGTCCGCAGGAGATTCCCAGGAGGCTCCCAGGAGGCCCCAGGTGGCCCCCTATCAGAACGTGTCAAGTTAATACACATCTGGTGCCGATTCGTTGATTTTTCGTGCTCTTGTGGCCCCCCATTTTGGGGGGCCCCGACGGCCACATGTTCGATATCCCCCCCCCCTGGGAGCCCCAAGAGGCTTCAGGAAGCCCCAGGTGGGGTCCAGGAGGCCACAGGAGGCCCAGGAGGAAGCCCCAGGAGGTCACCAGGAGGTCTCGGGAGGCCCAAGGAGGCCCCTGCAACTCGGAGCTCTGAGACGCCGCGCTCGAGGTGGTCCGGCCCGTTTCGCCTGAGACTTCCTCGCAGAACGTTTCGCCCGAGACATCGTCGCAACTCTGGGGTCCGAAATGCCGCGCGCAAGATGGTCCGGCCTGTTTCGCATAAGACATTCTCGCAACTCTGAGCTCTGAGATGCCGTGCGCAAGGTGGTCCGGCCCGTTTCGCACAAGACATTCTCGCAACTCTGAGCTCTCAGATGCTGCGCAAGAGGTGGTCCAGCCTGGGGGCCCAGAAGACCACATGTATCCCCCCTGGGACCCTCGGAGCCCCAGGAGGCCCTAGAGAGCTTCAGGAGGCCGCAGGACGCCCAGGACAGCCCCCAGGGGTCCGCAGGAGATTCCCAGGAGGCTCCCAGGAGGCCCCAGGAGGCCCCCTATCAGAACGTGTCACGTTAATACAAATCCGGTATCGATTCGTTGACTTTTCCTGCTCTTGTGCCCCCCCCCCCCCCATTTTGGGGGGCCCCGACGGCCACATGTTAGATATCCCCCCCTGGGAGCCCCAAGAGGCTTCAGGAAGCCCCAGGTGGGGTCCAGGAGGCCACAGGAGGCCCACGAGGAAGCCCCAGGAGGCCACCAGAGGAGGCCCCAGGAGGCCCCCGCAACTCGGAGCTCTGAGACGCCGCGCTCGAGGTGGTCCGGCCCGTTTCGCCTGAGACTTCCTCGCAGCGCGTTTCGCCCGAGACATCGTCCAGCCCGTTACGCTGGAGACATCCTCGCAACTCTGGGCTCCGAGATGCCGTTCGGGATGAAGAGGAGGTGGAGGAGGAGGAGGAGGAGGAGGAGGAGGAGGAGGACGAGGAGGAGGCATGTTTTTACATGCCATGCCAGCCCGCACTGGACGGGCACGCAATCGACCTTGGAAACCGCAGTGGGTCTAAAAACCCTGTTTGGGGATACTGCACTCCGGCTATAATATTATTCCCAACCCTCCTGCGTTGGGTTCTCGTTTTGAATAAAGCACTGCTCGCGCGTCGCCTTCCTTACTTCCTTCCTTCCTTCCTTCCCGCCCCTCCCTTCCCCCTTGCCTTTCGCCTCGCTCGTCGTTGCGTACCAGCTGGGGGGCTGCGATATGTGAAACTGTCGCCACTTTCGAGGCCCGCTGGGGTGCCCAGCGCAGTCTGCACCCGCGGCGGATTCAAATTAGACCTCGCCATCCCTGGGGGGCTGCGATCTGCGAAACTGTCGCCACTTTCGAGGGCTGCTGGGGGGCCCACCACAGTCTGCACCCGCGGCGGATTCAAATTAGACTTCGCCATCCCTGGAGGGTTGCGATCTGTGAAACCGTCGCCACTTTCGAGGCCTGCTGGGGGGCCCACCACAGTCTGCACCCGCGGCGGATTCAAATTAGACCTCGCCATCCCTGGGGGGCTGCGATCTGCGAAACTGTCGCCACTTTCGAGGCATGCTGGGGGGCCCAGCACAGTCTGCACCCGCGGGGGATTCAAATTAGACCTCGCCGTCTTTTGGGGGGCTGCGATCTGCGAAATTGTCGCCACTTTCGAGGGCTGCTGGGGGGCCCAGCACACTGGGCACCCGCGGCGGATTCAAATTAGACCTCGCCGTCCCTGGGGGGGTGCGATCTGTGAAACTGTCGCCACTTTCGAGGGCTTCTGGGGGGCTCAGCACAGCGTGCACCCGCGGCGGATTCGAATTAGACCTCGCCATCCCTGGGGGGCTGCGATCTGCGAAACTGTCACCACTTTCGAGGGGTGCTGGGGGGCCCAGCACTGTGGGCACCCGCGGCGGATTCAAATTAGACCTCGCCATCCCTGGGGGGCTGCGATCTGCGAAACTGTAGCCACTTTCGAGGGCTGCTGGGGGGCCCAGCACAGTGTGCACCCGCGGCGGATTCAAATTAGACCTCGCCATCCCTGGGGGGCTGCGATCTGCGAAACTGTCGCCACTTTCGAGGGCTGCTGGGGGGCCCAGCACAGTGTGCACCCGCGGCGGATTCAAATTAGACCTCGTCATCCCTGGGGGGCTGCGATCTGCGAAACTGTCTCCACTTTCGAAGCCTTCTGGGGGGCCCAGCACAGTGTGAACCCGCGGCGGATTCAAATTAGACCTCGCCATCCCTGGGGGGCTGCGATCTGCGAAACTGTCGCCACTTTCGAGGCCTGCTGGGGGGCCCAGCACAGTGGGTACCCACGGCGGATTCCAATGGGACCTCGCCATCCCTGGAAAGGGTACGATCTGTGAAACTGTCGCCCCTTTCGAGGCCTGCTGGGGGGCCCAGCACAGTGGGCACCCACGGCGGATTCCAATGGGACCTCGCAGTCCCTGGGGGGCTGCGATCTGCGAAGCTGTCGCCACTTTCGAGGCCTGCTGGGGGGCCCACCACAGTCTGCACCCGCGGCGGATTCAAATGTGACCTCGCAATCCATGGGGGGCTGCGATCTGCGAAACTGTCGCCACTTTCGAGACCTGCTGTGGGGCCCAGCACAGTGGGCACCCACGGCGGATTCAAATGAGACCTTGCCACCCCTGGGGGGCTGCGATCTGCGAAACTGTCGCCACTTTCGAGGCCTGCTGGGGGGCCCAGCACAGTGGGCTTCCCGCGCGTCTTTCTCCTGCTCTTCGTTCCCGACTCCCCATGTCCTCTTCGAACCTGTAGTTGTCGCCCCTAGTTCTTGTATGGTTCTCCTGCGCGTCATTCCATTGGCGCGTGTCCCAAGTAGCTTACATATCAAACAGCGGATCCTGCAATTTGATTGTCCGTGCAAGTTTCGGCCAATTCCTCGTTCCCCATGATACAAATTGGTTGGGTACGTCACAGGGTAATTGTTGTTCTTACCCGTATTCGTATTATGCGACTACGTATCATTGTAATGATCATGAATACCGCTTTGGCAATAACAGTAATGTGTTCTCATGGTTGCCATCAATAGGTGTGCTTCGTGTTTCATTGTTATTATGTGTACGGTTGGCATTGATACTCTTCGTGTGTCATTGGAACTAGAATTAGTATGTGTTGTGTTGTGCATGCTGTTATTCGCAGTATTCCAATACTGGCTAATCTGGTTACTATCACTGGTACCATCACTATCGCTATATACATTTAGTGTTACAACTGGCGTTAATAACTTTACTAGTACTACAGCAATGAGTATGAGGAGTATGATTCTAAATAGTGCGGTTGGTAAAAATACTAATATTCTGAAAAGAAATATGACTATTCGGTCGTGGACGACGTCGTCGGTGGCGTCCGTTTCCTCTTCATCCTCCTCCTCCTCTTCCTTGTCTTCCTCCACCTCTATTTCTCCGATTCATCACATCCCTCCTCCTCCTCCTCCTCCTCCTCCTCCTACCTCCGTCTCCTCCTCGTCCTCCTCCTTCTCCTCCTCGGTCTCCTCCTCCTCCTCCTCCTCCTCCTCCTCCCTCCTCCTTCTCCCCAACAGCTGCGACATTGTGGTGGTGGTGGTGGTCGCGGTCGTCGTCGAGCATCGATACAATGTAAATATTGTAAAACGGTGTTTGAATAGGTCGTTTCTGATGTTTTCGAATATTCAGGACCCTCCAGGGACCTCCCTGGGCTGGGGGGACCTCTGAGGACCTCCAGGAAACTCTGCATGCTTTCAAAGACACCTTCGAGACCTCGTCGACGTCGTCGGAAGTCGTCGTCGTCGACGTCCTCGCCTTAGAGGGTCGAGGGGCGAGGTGACTGGGGGTTCTTTCACAAGGTCTAGACCTCGGCGTTGCAATCGGCGTCGCCATCGGTATCGCTGTCGGCATCGTCGTCATTGTCGTCGTCGTCGCCTTCGTCGCCTTCGTCGTCGTCGTCCGTCGTCGCCGTCGTCGGCTTTAGGTTAATTCTCGGTCGGTCCTCGTCGTCGGCGGTCGTCGTCGGTCGTCGTTCGTCGGTTGTCGTCAACGTCGTTGACGCCGTCGGCACTGCCGTCATTCTCGCCTTCGTCGTCAGCCGTCGCCGTCGCCGTCAGTCGTCGTGGATCGTCGTCGACATCGGTCCTCGTCGTCGTCGGTCGCCATTTGTCGGTCGCCACCGTCGGCGCCGCCGCCGTCGGCGCCTCTCTCCACCGGACACCTCGGGCCACTCCGCGGGCGCGTCCATCGCCGCGCACACCTCGCCAGCGATGACGTCGAAGCTCCTGGCAGCGGCTTCTCCTCATCCTGCTTCCCGCTCCTACTGCTCCTCTTCCTCATCCTCCTTCCGCCATCCCTCCCTCTCTCCCTCATCGTGCTCCTCCTCCTGCTCCTCTTGCTCCGCCTGCTCAGATACATCTTCATCCTCCTCCTTCATCGTGCACTGCCTCCTCTTCCTCCTCCTCCTTATTTCCCAGGTTCCTGGAGGGGTCTCAAGATCAATACATCACCAATCAGCATCACGAATGGTCCCGTCGCTTTGCGGGCCCTCTCGTGTCAGGCTGGCTATGCCCATCTTTGTAGGCTTGTTTCCATTCCTCGCGCATCCCAGCGTCCAACTGCCCCACCTCATCCCGTGGGAGGGGGAGGATCTCCTCGAATTGTGAACTGCACGGAACCATACGGGGGTCGGCACCAGGAGGAGACTTCTGTAAGTGACACAACGCTCGCCACCTCAAACCGAAAACAGTGCCGCACACAGGGCAGAGGGAATCGGCGCCCGCGTATCTTCGCGCTGAACACCTCAAGTTATGCTTCCGCATCTTCCACGCGAGCAACGCCTCCTAACTATCCCTCCTCCTCCTCGGGACTCCTCGAGCGTTCGTCCGAGCTGCAGAGGCGCTGAGGGGCAAATGCTCTTCGCCGAGGGTGCCCCCCCGGGTTGCCTGCGGCTGCTGGGATCCGTCGCACCTGTCTGGAGCCTGGGCCATCCGCCGACGCCGCGGTTGCTGGCGGGGCGGTTGCGGGTGTCTACGCAAGCGACGGCCCGTCAGGAGATAGGGCCCCTTCGAGCCCCCCTACGCACACTGCTGTTGTTGGCGCGCCTTTGTCGGGTGCGACTGATATTAGTTCTAAGATGCCGTTGCCCAGTTACGAATTCATCTGTGGTCACCATATGGTCACGGAGGGCCCTGTTGCGTATTGCACAACTGCGGTGGGTCAGCATCCACACCACAGTCTCCTGTTTTGCTGGACCAACGTAGGGGTCCAGTAACATGGGAGACCAACAAAGCTCGGCCCTTCGGAATAATCGGGCACATCGCAAGCCGTGTAGAGGCATCCGCACAAGCTGTGGCTTGGAACGAGGCAAAGACGCTACGTTTCCATTACGTCTCAGCTTCCTCGTAGTCTCAGGGGAATCATCTACATCGCGTGGTCTCCGTCTCCTCTTGCTCTTGATCCCCACCATTGTGTTCCTCCGACTCCACCTCCTCACGTACCATCATCATCCCCATGCCCATCCCCATCCCCATCAACATCAGTAGAGCCATCACGATCACTATATGCACCGCCACCGTCGTCAGTGCCTTAACCAACACCATCATCAACATTATCACTCGTTATCGGCATCCTTATTATCATCAGCAGCATCAGCAGCATCACCATAAGCAATGCCATCACTACCAGCACTAGCACCAACATCATGACCATCACCACCACCACCCCCATCATCATCATCATCGTCATCGTCATCATCATCATCATCATCATCATCATCATCATCATCATCATCATCATCATCATCATCATCATCATCATCATCATCATCATCATCATCATCATCATCATCATCATCATCATCATCATCATCATCATCATCATCATCATCATCATCATCATCATCTGCATCATCATCATCATCATCATCATCATCATCATCATCATCTGCATCATCAGCATCATCGACATCCGCACCATCATCATCATCATCTGCATCATCATCATCATCACCATCATCATCATCACCATCATCATCATCATCATCATCATCATCATCATCATGATCATCATCATCATCGGCATCTGCATTACCATCAGCATCACGATCACCATCACCATCACCATCGTCAGCAGCATCAACAGCATCATCAGCATCATCAACATCCACACCAGCATCCGCATCATCCTCAACCTCACCCTGATCTGCATCATGATCATCATCACCATCCTCCTCCTCCTCAGCATCATCATCATCATCATGATCAGATCGCCTCATCATCCTCATCAGCATCACCACCACCACCATCTTCATCAGTAGCATAGCATTACCATCATCATCAGCATCGGTATCATCGGCATCCGCACCATCATCACCACCAGCACCATCATAATTATCACCAACACCATCGTCATCAGTAGCATCATCAGCATCATATGCATCATCATCATCATCATGATCACATCGCCTCATCATTCACATCAGCAGCATCACCACCATGATCTGCATGAGCATCAGCAACACCATCATCAACAGCATCATCATCACCATAACTATCGGCATCAGCACCACGACCACGACCACCACCATTCATCAGCATCTTTATCATCATCATCACCATCACCATCATCGCCATCATATCCGCATCCCCGCCATCATACTCGTCACGTCCTCCCCCCCGAAGATGCCCCCGAGGACCCCAGGGTTCCCCTCGTGCTGGCGGGGCACACTGGGCCGGAGGGGGAACGTCCCCGCTTTGGGGCACCCCTCCCCTCGGTGGCTGCTGGCCGACCCCCGTGGGACGCGGCTGGCAGCCCTTCTCCCTAGAGAGCAGCAAATCCACCCCCACGATCACCACCCCGACACGCGAAACCGTTTAGTAAACGCGCCCGAAGAAGGAATCAAACAGGGCAGTGCTGTTTAGTAAACGCCCAAGGCCGTTTAGTAAACGCCAATTGTCGGGTCGGGGCCGGGTGGCTTCTCCTCCCTTGACAGTGGACTCCACCCCGTGGGGCGCGGCTGGCGGCCCCTCTCCCCTTGGGGTATCCCCCCCTTCTCGTCGCCACGTCGTGCTGCCCATCCATCCTCCCCACGGTCGGTGCGCCCCGCCCGGGAGTGCGCGGAGTGGGCTCGCCGCCTGCGGGCGGCTCACTGGGGCTCTCCCGCCCTAGCCTTCCACGGCCGAGGCTCCCCGCCCGGCGTGCGGGGGGGCGGGGCGGTCTCACGTGGGAGCGGTGCCCCACGGAGGCTGATCGGGGCGGGGCGCCCAGGGATGCGCATTGTCAGCTGGAGGCGCAGCTCGAAAGGGGCCTGGGGCTCATAGCGCGGCTGGTCGGTTTGCTCAGCCTCCTGATGCCCTGCGCAGAAGCAGTGTCCATGCGCGGTCGTGCGGCCCCGAGATTGTCAGGTTGTAAGTGTCGCCGTTGGGCAATGTTTCTGGCGTTCGCGGCCCCAGCGTCCGCGAATACCAGGTGTCAGGCATATGCTGCCTTCCTTCATTTTTCTCACGTGCAGTTCGAACTGCCCTGGTTGAGTGGTAAAGGAAAGGCATCCCCTCGCCCTCCTCCTCCTCCTCCTCCTACAGCTCCTCCTGCTCCTCCTGCTCCTCCTGCTACTCCTGCTCCTGCTCCTCCTGTTCCTGCTCCTCCTCCTCCTGCCTCCTCCTCCTCCTCCTCCTCCTCCTCCTCCTCCTCCTCCTCCTCCTCCTCCTCCCTTATTCCTCCTTCCCCTCATTGCAAAATAGCCCACACTCACATTTCAGAATACACCACATTCGCGCCACCGAGGCCATTACCCCTTGTAGTAAAATACGCCACGGTCGCACCCCCGAAACCACGAACCCAACTCGCGGAGGCTGTCCAAACACTCCACCCCCTATGCAGAGCATAATTAGAAGGTATTTGTTTTGGGAGTGTGTGTGTGTGTTCGGTGGTCGCTTTTGCCCCTCCCCACGCAATTTCTTGAAAATTCGGCGGTGAGCCCACAGCCACGATTCCTCGAACACAGCGATGGATACAAGGACGCCGGAGACCACTCCAAACGCGCGACTTGGTCCTTCAGATACGCGAGATGGTCTCAAGCAGCCCCCAATCCCACAGAGAGGGCTTCTCATAATAACAAGAGGGGAGTGCTCCAAAAAGGCCACACAGCGTTGAACACTAACCCCAACAAATCTGTATGTTTTGATGATCCCTAGCTGCCCTCGCATGATGCTCTTAGATGTCTTCAAGGCGGCGCAAAGACACCCCAACGTAGCTCTAATCTGTCGCATTCTAATAGAGAGGGGGGGCCGGCGGCAGAGAGCAAAGCCCTTACGAAGGTGCCTGTGAGCATCACCGTACGCCTGCGACACCGCACTAGACCTCTACGAACACGCAGAAAGGGGCTGGGGGGGAGCACAACGCGCGTCACAGTCGCGTGTCACAGCCCAGGCCTCAAACACATGACTGACTGCCTACCAGACCACCCAAACCGAACCCGAAGACCCGAATTTCGGGTTGGGGTGAGGTACGGGCTCCATATGTGTTTCTTCAATGTTCCACGACCCCCCCCCACTGGAAATGGAGGGCAAATCGGGGCCTTCGGGTGGGGTTGGGGTGGTTTGGTGGGCGGTGGATTACCCTCCATTTGGGAGGGAGGAAGGCCGCGCGGCAGCGGCAGCGGCTGGCGCCTCTCCAGCTCCGCGCACCACGGGAATAGTCCAGGGTCATGCCAGGGCTGGCTGTGCAGTCCAGGCACCCAATGCCCGGGCCGCTGCAGGTGGTGCTCCTGCGGCCCCCCCTCCCTCCTCCCTCCTCCCTCCTCCCTCCTCCCTCCTCCCGCCTCCATCCTCCCTCCCTCCCTCCCTTCCTCCCTTCCTCCCTTCCTCCCTCCTCCCTCCTCCCACCTCCCTCCTCCCTCCTCCCTCCTCCCTCCTCCCTCCTCCCTCCTCCTCCTCCTCCTCCTCCTCCTCCTCCTCCTCCTCCTCCTCCTCCTCCTCCTCCTCCTCCCCCCTCCTCCTCCACCTTCTCTTCCTCGTCCCTCGTCCCTTCTCCTCCGCCTACTGCCTACTCCCCCTACTCGGTCCCTCTTCCATATAAGTACAAATGGCTCCGAGTGACCTACCCCTGTCGCACCACAAGACGTATCAACAGGCTGGCCCGGGCGTTTCGCCTGAGGTGACACCCTTGCACCTTACTCTCGCGAAGCACAACGCTCCAACAGCTGCACGAATGGATGGCAGGTGGTTTCCACAATGTTGCTTGCGCCTTTTGTGCCGCGCACATTGGTTACAACATCTTCCAACAGCTACGAGGATAGAAAGATCGTGGTTTCCAAAATGATCAGGCTGCCACCTCAGCGCCACGCGCATTCATCTCTATAAGATGGCCGCAATTACGAAGATGGACGCCGGCTCGTTTTCAACACGCGGCCATCGCCTCAAAGGTATAACAACGTGTCGCAGAATATTCCAGCAAGGTGCTCTGCCGGCCATCGGCGCCTCTGGAAATTATGGCCACCTAACGGGAGGCCAAAGGACATACTAGCACTATGCGCCCCCCTTGAAGGAACACGTCCGAAACGAACAACCAATACAAACATACTACTAACCTATACCGTCACCAAGTCGGTATGGACATAAAACGTCTGCCACCGGAAACTTGGTCGGACAAGAGGGAAAGAAGACAAGGATGATGGCGACGACAAAGCGGCGGATGAGGAGGATGGCAGCAAGGATGACGGGAAGCGCCGCGAGGGGAGCAGGAGGACAAGAGTAGGAAGACACGCGCACGGACGAGAAGGAGATGGAGGACGTGCACGAGGAGGAACGAAGCGGAGGAGGAGGGGGAGGGGGAGGACGACGACGACGAAGGAGGACGGTACGGAGTCCGAAGAAAACTACGTCGAATAATGGGGGGCTCGTGATTTTTGTTTGAGGCTGCCATGGGGTTTGCTGGGGCCGTCTGTGGCGACCTTAGGGCATCATGGGGGTCCTATTGGGTGCCCGTCGGGGTCCTCTCAAGGGCTAGTGGGGTCTTGCTGGGCTGCCTGGGTGAATCTTCGTCTTAGGGTTCTGCGGGGGCTCTCTCAGGCCGTCTTGGCGCCATCGTGGGTTGTCGTGGGCCGTCTAAGGTCCTCCTGGGCCGCTCTTGGGAGCCTCTTGGGGCCCTCGTTGTGTCCTCTGGGGGCCTTGTGGGTTCTTTTGGGGTCGTTTGGCAGCTGTCAGAACACCGACAACCGCCAAGAACTTCAAGGAGGCATTCAATTGCCACCTGCAGAACGCCAGCCTCACGCATATGGACGTGAACGAGATCGACAAAGTGATGACCCAGACCTTCCACGCAGCCGCCTTGCAAGCCTTGCTGGAGCTGCATGCCGCCCCGCACCAACCTTGGATTTCGTCGAGAACCTTGGACATCATTGAGAAGCGAACACTTGCACGACGTGGAGAGGTCAAGCACGAATGGGCGCTCAACGCAGACGTCAAGCAGTCGGTCAAGAACGACCAAGGCAATTGGCTGGACGGGCTCCTAGCAGCAGGGGCGTGGCAAGAACTGCGCAGTCTTCGAAAGGACTTCGGCCACAGCAAGGCAGGGTCCAGAATGTGGCAGGTCACGTGGTTGACTTCGATGCTCGCGCAGAGACTTTAGCAGAGTACCTAAACGAAATTCAGTGGGCCACTCGCAACACTACGCCCATGAACGCCGAGCCGCTACGCCCCTTGCTTCTGGTGAGCGCCGACGATATCACGGTCGAGGAGCTGATTGCGGCGGCAAAAAAGATTAAGTGGGGGAAGGCGCAGGGCCCAGACGGCGTGCCGGAGGACCTCTGGAAAGCGATCTGCACGAGAGACTCACCGGCGCGCTCATGGGCACTGGCACTGTGCCAGACATGTTGAGCAGACAGGTTGTTCCGGACGCCTGGCACGAATCCCCTGCGGCGGCGATCTTCAAGAAAGGCGATCCTGGATTGTGCGAGAACTACAGGCCGGTCTGACTTCTGCAAACTGGTTACACGCTCATCTACGCCGCAATGCTACCGCAAAGACTCAAGGCCGCGGGAACGTAAGACCGCGTGTGGAGCACGCAGTTCGGTTTCAAGTCGAAGCACGGCACAGCCGATGCCATCTTCCTCGCCAGGGATCGCCCTAAACAGTGTTCTTTCGCTGTCGTTTTGTTTTTCGTTTTGTCTTCAACCCGTCCTCGTTGCAAAACGAAATCGAAACGAAAACGGCCCACGAAATCGCAAAAGCACCGTTTAGGTAGACCCCTGTTCCTCGCCAGGCGGCACCTGGATGCAGCCTGGGCCGCGCGAGACGGGGAGCTCGTTCTACTGGCGCTGGACTGAGCGAGACCTTCGACAGCGTGCATCCAGACTCCTTGATGAGATCATTGGCGCGCTTCGGTCTCCCCTCGCACATTGCCCAACGCCATCAGCGCCATCTACAAGGACAAGCGCTTCGCGGTGCGGGACGCCGGCCAGGTAATTATCAGGAATCCGCGAGCAGCGCGCAAGGATCTGCCAGGGCTGCCCACTTTCGCCTTTTCTTGTCGCCATCGTGGGGCGAACTTGGGGAGCAGGCAAAGCACGTGGGCGACTTCGCTTACGCCGACGACACTTTGATCGAGGCCACCGGCACTGCGCAGGCCGCGGAATACATTGCCGCCGTTGAGCGCGCGGGCGCGAACTACGGCCTCAAGTACAACTGGAAGAAGCTCGAAGTACTCTCTGTTCGATGCACCGCTGAGATTCCGATGCCAAACGGAGGTCTGGTAAAGCAGAAGGACAGCGCCGTCTACCTCGGCTGCATCCTTTCAGCGGACGACGCGGTTGGATCGGAACTCAGCTGGAAGCTGGGGGCAGCCAGAGCCGAATTCGATACTTAATCAAAGGTATGGTCACACGCTGCGATCACGACTTGGAGGGAGATCCAGATCTTCGACGCATGCGTGGTCAGCAATCTTCTGTGTAGCCTGCACATTGCATGGCTAAAGAGTGCAGAACTCTCAAAAGTGGATGCGCTCCAGGCGCATTGCTTGCGGCAAATACGCCGCATCCCACAGCCGCATCTCGAACGCAGAGGTTCTGCAACAGGCAAGCGGCGCAGTGTGAAGAGCATGCTCCTGGCCAGGCAACTGGGCCTCTTCCACGACATCGCGCAGAAGACGAACGACCACCTGGTAAGGCACGCTGTCTTGCGAAACGGCACGAACGAGGTTCTGGTCCCGATCGGCAAACGAAAGAGATGCAGATCCCGACAGACGTGGGTCGCGGAGGTGAACAGGCACGCGAGATTGGTATGCGAATCTGCGCATATATCGTGAACAACTGCATGCGCTGCCAGCCGACTGATGGCAGGCGGCAATGCGGGAATACACCGTTGGTTGATTTCTCTCCACCCGTCCCCCTCCGCCTCCTCCTCCTCCGCCTCCTCCTCTTCCTCCACCATTCCTTTCCCGATAAACAACTTATCCCTGTCGCATGCCGAGACGGTCGAAAGGCCGGGCCGGGCGTTTCGCCTGACAATGCCTCACCACTTATGACCCTGAAGCTGATTGAAACATTGGAAACACTTGTTCCACAGATGGAAAGGCCGGTCGTTGTCAAAATGTGGCTCTTGCCTTAGCGCCGCGCATTTTCGTTATGAACATTTGCAAATTTAACGGATTGAGGGCGCGTGGTTTTCAATATGTGGCTCTCGCTTCAGCGCCGCGTTCATTCGTTTTCCAAATTTGCAGGGATTTCACAAATTGGGGGCGGGGGTTTTCCAAAATAAGGTTCTCGCCTTAGCGCCGCGCGCATTCGTTTTACAAATTTGCAGGAGCTTCACGGATTGTGGGCGGATGGTTTTCAAATTTGGATATCGCTTCAGCGCCTCGCATATTCGCTTTAAACATGTGCCAGACATTCACGGATTGAGGGCGGGTGGTTTCTAACAGTTGGTTTTCGCCTCAGCGCCACGCACATTCGCTTCAAAAATGTTCAGAAGCTTCGCGTGCTGAAGGCGGCTGGTCTTCAAATGTTGCTGGTCTTTTTCGTATGACAAAAAACGCAAACACTTCACGGACTCCCATGGCCAACGTTCTGGAAATCGCGTTTTGGAAAGATTCCGGACTATGAAGGTGCAGCGGTCGCGTTGATTCGCGAAGTTGAACTACAAAGAATGGCGTTCTGGCGCGATTCAGGACCATCAAAACGCAACAATCAGGTTGATCCGTGGCGCTGGGGTGCCGAGAGTAATGCTTTGGCACGCTGCAGGGTCCTCGGACGGTTGTTTTCCAACGCGACAGCTCCCTCAGTGGAACTGAGCCGTTGTATGGGGCCAATGAGAACGGAGCTTGGAGGGAGGGTTTATGCCAAAATCGCTGATGACTCTTGGGTTTACACTGGTCCTCCTCCTCCTCCTGTTCCTCCTCGCCCTCCTCCTCCATCTCCAAATCATTCACTGTTGCCGGCCGTCGTGCTTTGAATCAAACGGCCTTTTGCCAAGCGAACAGCAGCCGAGCACCCACCTTTCGTGCCGTGCCATTACTGTTTAGTGCTCATGTGCCTGCTGGACACAAGATGCATATGTTTCTTGGAAACTGTAGACCCTGCGGGAACGATGCCAAGAAAATGCTGGTTCGGAGCCCCCTACGGAACCGAATTGCCGAACATGTCACGAGAGGAAACGGCCATGTTTCAGAAACCTGACCGGCAAATAACGGGAAGCGCCACTGTTGTGAATCGGGCTCGTGCGGGTTATCCTCGCGTTGGTCTGCCGCGTTGGTCCGCCGTGATGCTGAGTG